AACAATATATATATATAATATTATCAAAATTGTGTGTTATATCGGATGTAGATCATTTTCTTGATATAAGGAAATCCCCATTTGACGGTTTGTGGATGATGCAAATCATCAAAAGCATCATTAAATGAAGCTTCTTCGTAGTCTTCGGGATCAATCTCATCAGAAGCTTCGTCTTTGAATATATTTGATGAAAGCGGCTCTCTTTCTGTACTAGTATGAAGTGATACTGACACATTTTCATTCTAAATAATATATATTGTTAATTAACATTTTATAACTTAATAACTATTAACAACTAATCCAGATAATTCTAAAAAGGTGGTATTATTAAACTGGACATTTTTTTAGGCCAAATAGTTAAAATTAAATTTTAATTTTGACCAGAATTTAGACGTGTTTAACTTCAAAAAAATGTCCAGATTAATAATACCACCTTTTAAAAATTATCCGGATCCTTTAATAACCAATTTACAAACTTCATTTAAGTTATTTTCTGTGTTTATAAAAGAGCCTGATCTGGATAAAGATGACGTTGACATAATTTCGTTCTATACAAACATAATCGTTTATTAACGATTTATAACTTAATATGATCCAGATAATTCTAGAAAGGTGGTATTATTAAACTCAATATTTTTTTGGGCCAAACAGTTAAAATTAAAATTTAATTTGACCAGAATTTAGATGTGTTTAACTCCAAAAAAATGTCTAGATTAAAATAATACCACCTTTTAAGAATTATCCGGATCCTTTAATAACCAATTTACAAACTTTATTTAAGTTATTTTCTGTGTTTATAAAAGAGCCTAATTTGGATAGAGGTGACGTTGACATAATTTCGTTCTATACAAATATAATCGTTTATTAATGATTTATAACTTAATTTAATCTGGATAATTCTAGAAAGGTGGTATTATTAAACTCGATATTTTTTTGGGCCAAACAGTTAAAATTAAAATTTAATTTAACCAGAATTTAGACGTGTTTAACTCCAAAAAAATGTCCAGATTAATAATACCACCTTTTAAGAATTATCTGGGTTCTTTAACAACCAATTTACAAACTTCATTGAAGTTATTTTCTGTATTTATAAAAGAGCCTGATCTGGATAGAGATAACATTGACATAATTTCGCTCTATACAAATATAATCATTTATTAATGATTTATAACTATAACTTAATAATAATATTTAAATAATTACTCTATATATTATAGATTCATTAGTATCATGCTCCAAAGAAGAATAGCTGTATTCTAGATCATTCCAAGTATCATTATCTAATGGTTCTGCAGAAAAGCCTGGGTCTTGGATATAAGGATGTTTTTGCAACATATATTGTGTTAAGGCATGAGCTTTTGAAAATTCTCGACTACAATATTTACATGGCAAAAGCATTTTGAAAAATAAAAGAAATAAAGAGAGCAAACGAGAAAATAGAAATGAAATAAAAGGAAGAGAGTAAATGAAAGAATGAAAACAAATGAAATGATCAAAGAAGAGTGAATGAGAGAAAGAAACGAACCAATGATAAATAGCGATAAATAGCGAAAAATATAATGATGAAAGAAGAAAGCGAACAAAAGAGAGAAGAAAGCAAATGAAAGAGAAAAGAAAACGAACGAAAGAGAAGAAAGAGTGGTTAAAGCGATAGATCGATTATGAAGAATCTGAATAAGAAATGGTTATGAAAGAAGGTATAGAATATAGCAGAGAGCAATGATTAAAAGGATTCTAATCGATCTATATCAATTTTAAACAACTCTTCTTCAATCAAAACAAAGCATAATAATTGTTTATGATATAAGTTATAATAATATATTACGTATAATATTATTTAATATGTTTCTTTCTCAATAGTAACTTAGCGAATTATTACACATGTATTGTTGATATCACAAAAAACAACAAATGAGATAAGTTACTTTCGCTTTTTTTTTCGTATATAACAATCAACATCATCATATATTAATTTTTTATTTCTTAGAAATATAGATTATCATTACATGTAAGTAGAAAAAAAACAAATAAGCATACTTTCGCTTTTTTTTCATATATAATGATCATCATCATATATAAATTTTTTATTTCTTAGATACATTACGCGTAAGTAGACAAATAAGCATACTTTCACTTTTTTTTATGTAATAAATTAAGCAGCATCATTAATTTTTATTATTTCTTAGATATATAAATATACCTGATTCTTTTATTTGGAAAAGGTAAAGAATTTTTGAAATGAACTCTAACAATGTTTCTTTGTCTAATAACATCGCTCCTGCTTCTAATAACAATATTAACAATAATAACACTTTAAATAATGATTTACCTCCTAATAACAACAATTCATCCTCTAATAACGATGCTCCCACTTGCAATAACAATAATAACGCTTTAAATAATGATTTACCTCCTAATAACAATGTTTTCGCTTTCAATAACAATACTTTCACTAATAATTCAAATAAAAACTTACCTACTGATAACAATTTATATGATAATGCTTTGTCTTCTCCTTATATTGTTGTACCTATCAATATATCTCGATCCCAATCGATTGCTCATTCATCTCGACACATCGCTGATCCTCATAATACTTATAATGAAGATTCTTCAGATTCATCACTCAAAAGTATTAGAAGTGCACAAAAAAAATTTGCAAGAATAAATGATAAAAGTGGTAAAAAACCTACACAAGTACGACAAATTACCCAATCACGAAACCAACAGTCATCACCTTATTTCCGTAACGCATCGCGTTCTATCGAGCGTGGCAGATCTTCATCATCGGGGCAAGATCAGAAAGATCACGATCTAGATTACGAGATCGTCGATCCACCAATAGGAATCAGCCAAGAAATCATGATATATAAACTCTATTTTTTTTTTTCTTAGATTTCTAAATGCGTAACTTTTTTTTTTTTTTCTCTAAGCAAATACCTTTTTTTTTTTTTTTTTTTTAAAAAAAAAAAACAATTCTAAGAACTTTCGTGCCACCAAATTGAGAAGCAACTTTCGCGCCATCAACAAAACGAGGAGAAACTTTACACTAAAACCTGAGAGTTATATGTTTTAATCAAGGAATTGAAAAAGGACGTCTGGGAAATAAATGACGAACTTAAGCGTCAAATAACAAATCAGAAAAAAGATCTTTTACCAAAGGTGTTGAATATAAGTAAACTACTTACTATTAATATAGTATTGCATTTCAAACGTTTACTTAAGCTTTTTTAAATTTTGCAGGAGGTATATACTGGCATTGTAAAACGTCTTTTCTTTCGCAACATCTATCCCATCCAGATCATACTAAAGGGTGCCTTCAAAGAATATTTTAATACTAAATTCACTAAATTTATGTAGAATATAAGTGAAAATGAATTTACTAACAAGTTTCACGGTGTATAGTGTAGTCAGGCATGTAAAATAACCTTTTCTTATTGTTTTTTTGTTTTTTTTGTTTTTTTTTGTTTTTTTTTGTTTTTTTTTTTGTTTTTTTTGTTTTTTTTTTTTTTTTTTTTTTTTTTTTTTTTTTTTTTTTTTTTTTTTTTTTTTTTTTTTTTTTTTTT